CTCCCTCCTCCTCCTCCTCCTCCTCCTCCTCCGCCTCCTCCTCCTCCCCCTCCACTCTTTCCTCCCCTCTCCTCCATTCCTCCTCTCCTCCCTTCCCCCGTCCCCCTCGATCCTCCGTCCCTCCCTTCCTCCCTCCTTCCCGTCGTCCCTCCTCCCTGCCCTCCTGCTCGCTGTGCGCTCCCCCCCGGGCTCTGGGCCACGGCGCCCGGCCCTGCCGCCTCTCCCCCCCCGTGTCCTTGCCGTGGCCACGGGGCTCTGGGCCGCGGCAGGCCTCACGGAGGAGCCGCCGCTGCCGACGGAGCCGGCCGTGACGGAGCGGGCGCGGAACGTGCGGGAGCAGATCTGGGGCGCCAAGGCTCGGCCATGCGCAGGAGGAGGAGGAAGAGGAGGAGGAGGAGGAGGAGGAGGAGGGGGAGGAGGAGGAGGAGGAGGAGGAGGAGGAGGAGGAGGGGGGGAGGGAGGAGGAGGAGGAAGAGGAGGATGAGGATGAGGAGGAGGAGGGGGAGGGGGAGGGGGAGGGGGAGGGGGAGGGGGAGGGGGGAGAGGGAGGGGGGCGGAGAAGGCTGGGGGAGGAGGAGGAGAAGGGGGAAGAGGAGGAGGAGGAGGAGGAGGAGGAGGAGGAGGAGGAGGAGGAGGAGGAAAAGGAGGAGGAGGAGGATCTGGTGGAGGAGGAGGAGGAGGAGGAGGAGGAGGAGGAGGAGGAGGATTTTGGGAAACGGTCGAGGATCGAGGATCGAGGATCGATCCTCGCTCCTCCCTCCCCTTCTCGCTGCCGCCGCCGCTGCTCACATTGCGCGGGGGTCTCCCGATCGCGCGGAGCCCCGCCCTCCGCCGCTCCGCGCACCGCCCAGATGGAACACCGCAACCGCCCCCCTACCCCTACCCCTACCCCCTGCCCCTCCTTAGAAGCACCCTGCCTTTCAGAAGGCGCGGGCCTTATCTGTATGTAGATGTATGGGCGGCGCCCTCTGCGGGCCAGCCTTCTTCCAAGCAGCCTTCCCCCCTCCCCTGCCCGGCTGTGCGCGCCGCCAGAGGGCGCAGGCGGTCCCCAGGGGCAGCATCAGGGGGGGACAGTCTAGGCCTCGGAGATGGTGTCGAAGCGTATGGGGTCGGAGGATCGCGCCGCGTGGCCGATGCATCGGCGATGCGGCTCGACGTGGAGCCCGAGCTTCTCCGCGCTGGCGTCGCCGATGCGCCGCCGACGTCGCCGATGCATCGGCCGGCGGTGCGGCGCGACCTTTCCGACCCCATCCGCTCTTTTCAGCTAGGATGCCTCTACAGTGCCGTTTTTAATACATGCTCCGCGTGCGGATCATGTATTAAACATGCAGGGATTCAGTACTGAAAACTACGAGGAGTTCATGCATAACTTTATTCATATATTAATCGTGTGTTTTATAAATCCTATATTGAAAAGCAATCCCATGTCTTAAAAACCTGCCCTGTAGATATGTCGGCGGCGCGCCCGGGTGGGAAGCGAGAGGGGGCAGGCCCTCTTGGCGGGCGGCGGGGCTCCTCGGCAGCCCCCGCGCCTCCCGAGCGGCGCCCTCTGGCGCCGGGCCGTGCTCGGCACGCCTCAAACGCCTCACTGGAAGGCCGGAGGCCTCCCGAGCCTCCCGTGAGCGCCCGTCCCTGGCCGGCCCTCTGCGGAGGCCCGCCCCGCCTCACACTTAATTCGATGCTCGTTTCGGGGACCGTCCTGGAGCCCACCTGACGAATCTGTTCGACCCCAGTTCGACCCCAGTTCGGCTCAAGTTCGACTCGAGTTCGACTCTGGTTCGACTCAGGGTCGGACCCAACTCGACTGACGTTCGACGCAGCTTCGACGCACGAGTGGAGCGAGTGGCTCCAGGAAGGTCCCCAGAACGAGCATCCAACACTTCCCCCCCCAAGCGCGCCGCCGAGGACAGGCGCACATGTCGGTATCGTTTAACCGATCCCCATCCCCATCCCCATCCCCATCCCCATCCCCTGCGAGACCCCCAGTTGGGGGAGACACCCCTCGAAGCCCGAAGGGGACGACCCAATTACAACCCCATCCAGGGGGGTTCAGTCGGCCAGTGGGGCCCCTGCCACGCCGCTGGGGATGGGGGTCGGTCAAACGATGCTCCACATGGGGGGGAGCACCGACCCGCAAGACCGCCCACGGGTCGCCGGTGCGGGCCCGGGAGGCCCGCCCGCCCCGGAACAGCGTGCGGAGGCGCCGGCGGGGGCCGGGCCCGTCGCCGGCGCAGTCCGGCGGCCTCGTCGCGGAGGCCAGGGCGGCGGCGGGGTCCGAGCCTGTAGGGGGCCACACGCGAGCCCTACAGTGAGCGGCTTGAGTAAGGAGCACTTTCTTTTCAAAAGGGGCTCGGCCGTTCCTTAAGGCTTGCATGCGTTACGTATCCTTCCTTTTGCGTTTTTGTATTATTTATTGTTCCTTATGCTTTTTCCTTGGAGAACAGGGGCTTCGTTCCTTATTTATCGTTCCTTAGGTCAGGCCGATGACTGTACCCCTGCCCCCCCTGGATTTCTGAGGGGGAGGGTGGGGTTCACTTCGCTCGGGAGCTCCCGAACGAGGTGAACCCCACCCACCCCCTCAGACGTCGTGGGTGGCAGGGGTAGGGTTTGCATGTGGCCCCCTCTCGTTGCGGATGTCGCCACCTGCAGTCGAAGCCGACGGCAAGGATGGGTAATCTTCCCCAGGGGTGTCCTTGCGTCCGTGCCTCTTCGCTCCATCCTCGACCACTTTCGATTGGCCGCCGCGCATGGAAACGCTCCAGCACGGGCGTCCAAGGGGCCTGTATCCTCATCGCGCATCCTTGCCCATCAGTTTTGGCTGCAGCATCGCCGCCCGATTCCAGGTCGATGGTTCCCCCCCCCTTGAGCTGGCCCCCCCCTTCGACGTTCCCCCTCAAAAAGGGGCCCCGCGGGAGAGAGGGATCCCACAGGTCTGGTGTCGTTTCCGGGCATCCAGGGCCCCTCCCAGGCCCCGGGGCCGTCCACAGAACGGCTCGCGGGATGAAGAGCTGCTTGCGTCACAGCACGGCCAGAATGACCAGGACTCTCACTTTGGAGAACTACATGGCCAGGCTCCCACCTCGGTGAGGCACTTAAACAGAAGGCGAAGCTGTGGGGAGTTAGTCGAAGCAAGGGTGAGCTAACCATACGCCTCCCATATACTTGCGTCGCTTCTCCTGTCACCTTAAGAGGTTCCCCATGACAAGAGGATGAAGAACCGTTTGCAAGATGGGGCGCCCCGCCACTCGTTTCTGTGCGAGCCACCTGCGTGGCCACCCTTGAGCAGTCAGCTCTTGTCACACACCCTGCATGTCGCGTCTTGTACCATAAGTTCAAGCTAGCCGAGGATAGTTTGTTCTTCGCCGTTGTCTCTTTGGAGGAGCTTTCGCCAGTATCTGGCTCGGGGGCCCGCTGTCGGTCCATCTCAAGTCTGCCGCCACTGGATGTGGTCTGGAAAGAAGATGCAAGTCGTTTGAGTCTAGAACCAGACTAATCGACTGACTGGTGCACCTGCAGTTGATGGCCCGAGTTCCCCTCCACGTCGCCCAAGCCGTGTGGAAAACGTCAGCAGGAGCTTGCACGACCGCTAAGCGTGTGCAGAAGGATTCCGCCCCGAACACGTGCATCCTTGGCCGTGTGGCCATGACAACTCTCAGCGCTGTTTCTCCACTGGTCACAAACTCAAGCCCCACTGGTGTGCCATTGTTTGTTGTGATTCAGGCCTCGGAAGAACTTAGCGAACATCCATGTCGAATTCATCCGTCAACGCCCCCTTCCCCCATGCTCCATGTTGGCGGCGGGTCTGATGGCCTGTACTTCGACCGCTGCCTTCCCCGCGAATGCCAGCTTTAAATTTGAGGGCAAGGGGGGTGTCCACTGATTGTTTCCCTCTACCGCTCTGCTGACGGTCCCATCGCTATCTCTGGCCTTTTCGCTGCTTCACCTCGGCCCCAGCGTGGGAGGAGGAGGAGGAGGAGGAGGAGGAGGAGGAGGAGGAGGAGGGGAGGAGGAGGAGGAGGAGGAAGGGAGGAGGAGGAGGAGGAGGAGGAGGAGGAGGAGGAGGAGGAGGAGGAGGAGGAGGAGGAAGAAGAAGAAGAAGAAGCAGAATAATAATAATAATAATAATAATAAGAATAATAAGAATAATACTAATAAGAATAATACTAAGAAGAAGAATAAGAAGAAGACGAAGAAGACGAATAATAATAATAAGAAGAATAAGAATAAGAATAATAAGAATAATAATAATAAGAAGAATAAGAAGAAAAAGAATAATACGAATAATACTAAGAAGAAGAAGAATAATAATAATAAGACGAATAATAATAAGACGAAGAATAAGAAGAATAATAATAATAATAAGAAGAAACAACATAAGAAGCAGACTAATAAGACGAATAAGAATAATAATAATAAGACGAATAATAATAAGAATACGAAGAATAATACGAATAAGACGAAGAATAAGAAGAATACTACTAATAATAAGAAGAAGACGAATAATAATAATAATAATAATAAGAAGACGAATAATAAGAAGACTAATAATAATAATAATAATAATAATAATAAGACGAAGAAGAATACTAATAATAAGAATAATAATAATACTAATAAGAATAAGACGAATAAGAAGAAGACTAAGAAGAATAATACGACGAATAATAATAAGAATAATAATAAGCAGAATAAGAAGAAGACGAATAAGAAGAAGAATAAGACGACGAATAAGAATAATAATAATAAGGAGAAGAAGAAGAATAATACGACGAAGAAGAAGAAACATACGAGTAAGAAGAATACTACGAATAAGAAGAATAATAATACTAAGACGAATAATAATAATAATAATAATAATAATAATAATAATAATAAAAAGAATAAGAAGAATAATAAGAAGACGAAGACGAATAATAATAACAATAATAAGAAGAAGAATAATACTAATAAGAAGAATAAGAAGAATAATAATAAGAATAATAATAAGAAGAAGAATAAGAATAAGAAGAAGAAGACTAAGACTAATAATAATAATAATAATAATAATAAGAAGAAGAAGAAGAAGAATAATAAGAGGAGGAGGAGGAGGAGGAGGAGGAGGAGGAGGAGGAGTGAGGGCGGAGGAGGAGGAGGAGGCGGAGGAGGTAGGAGGAGGCGGAGGAGGAGGGAGGAGGAGGAGGAGAGGAGGAGAGAGGGAGGAGGAGGAGGCGGAGGCGGAGGCCCGGCGGCGGCGGCGGCGGCGGCGGCGCGGGGCGGAGGCGGAGGCGGCGGCGGAGGCGGCATGCGAGGCGAGGCGGAGGCGGAGGCTGGGGAGGCGGAGGAGGAGGCGGAGGCGGAGGCTGGAGGCCGGAGGCGAGCGGAGGCGGAGGCGGAGGCGGGGTGGAGGCGGAGGCGGAGCGCGGGGAGGCCGGAGGCGGAGTAGGAGGAGGAGGAGGATGAGGAGGAGGAGGCCTCGGTAGCGGAGGAGGTAGTGAGGAGGGGAGGAGAGGAGGGAGAGGAGGAGGAATGGAGGAGGGTGAGGGGAGGGGGGAGGGGGAGGGGGAGGGTGAGGGGGGAGGAGGAGGAGAGGAGGAGGAGGAGTGAGGAGGAGGAGGGGAGGAGGAGGAGGAGGAGGAGGAAGGAGGAGGAGGAGGAGGGGAGGAGGAGGAGGCGGCGGAGGAGGAGGAGGAGGAGGAGGAGGAGTAGGGGAGGAGGAGGGAGGGAGGAGGGAGGGAGGAGGGAGGGAGGGAGGGAGGGAGGCGGGAGGAGGGAGGAGGAGGGGGGGAGGCGGAGGAGGAGGAGGAGGAGGAGGAGGAGGAGGGGGAGGAGGGGGAGGAGGGGGAGGGAGGAGGAGGAAGGGAAGGAGAAAGAGGACCAGTGTAAACCCAAGACTCGTCGACCATACTGGAATGCACCCTCCCTGGGAGCTCCCTCTCCTCAGGCCCCCCAAAGGGTTTATTTCCTCCAGGGGAAGTGCCCCGTTTGGGGACAACCGTGTGAAAATCCCGAAGCTTGCCAAAACACCGTTCTCAGGAGTTCAACGCCACGAGTCAATCTGACTGTTGCGTCTTGACGATCCTCAATCGTGTCAGAAAACCAGTCCTCGGACTTCAATCAACGCGAATTAACGTAACTGTTGCGCCCTCACAATCCTGAATCGTTTCGAAACGCCGTTCCTGGTACGTTAGCCATGAGAGCTAGTGAAATCTCTAGCTAACTTTGAAGGCGCGCGGCGCTAAGGCAAGAACCACATTTTGAAAAGGAACCGCTCTCACTCCGTGCAGCTCTTGTGAATGTTTGAAAACAATGTGCGCGGCGTTCAGGCGAGAGCCATTTTTAGTACCACCCGCCCTCGATCCGTGAAGCTCGTGGTGCAGTTAAAAGAAACGAGTGCACGCGGCGCTAACGCGAGAGATGCATTTTGAACACGACTTGCCCTCAATCCGGGAAGCTCTTGCAAATTTTGAAACGAATGTGCTCGGTGCCAAGGCGAGAGCCAGATTTTGAAAACCACCCGCCCTGAATCCGTGAAGTTCTTGCAAATGTTTAACGAGTATGCGCGGCGCTAAGGCGAGAGACCCATTTTGAAAGCGACCCGCTGCCAGTTTTTCAGCTTCAGGCTCATAAGTGGCGAGGAAGTCTCAGGCGAGACGCCCGGCCCGCCCTTCCGACTGGCCTCAGGGTGCGACAGGGAGAGCTACTCAGAAGCCAAAGAACTTGCGGACGAGGAGGAGGAGCAGGAGGAGGAGGAGGACGAGGAGAAGGAGGCGAGGACGAGGAGGACGACGAGGCCCTTCGACCCGGGGCGCTCTGGGCGCGCGCGCGCGTGCGCACCTCTCGGAGAGGCTGCCCCGGCGCCGGCGCCGCGGGGCAGCGCCGCAGCGGCTGCCTTCGGGGCCGCGCGTCCGCCGCGCGCCCCCGCCCCCCTGCGCCCAAAGTCTTGAAGAGGAGGAGGAGGAGGGAGGAGGGAGGGGGAGGAGGGAGGGGGAGGAGGAGGAGGAGGAGGAGGAGGAGGAGGAGGAGGAGGAGGAGGAGGAGGAGGAGGAGGAAGAGGCTCAGGTCGGCGTTCTTCGCAGTTCTGGGCTGCTGGGGGCCTCTGCCGGGCCCCGGGGACGTCGGGAACGGCTCGGGATCGAGAGCCGGCCCTGGGGCAGGCGTTGGGTTCGGGGCCATGGGGCACCCACGGTGCAGGTAAGAAAACGGCGTCGACGGTCTCGGTCCTCCGTGGCGCGGGCCGCCCCCGAGACGAGGTCTTTCTGCATTGGGCCAACGGGCCAGTGCGGGGACACCTTCGCGTGGCGCCAGCGCTGCTGCCAGGAAGCTCACTCCAGGCGTGCCCTCTCGCCCCACCAGGCCGCACCCGCGGCCTGCTCCCGGCTCGCCCAGACGGAGCTGCCCGCGGACTGCGCCATCGTCGCCTCCCCGCGCCGTCGTCGGCCAGAGGGGGCTGCGCGTTCGGTACGTCTCGCCTCATGAGGGGACCCGGCGGGAAGAACGCGCCTCGGCTACGGCTCCCTGTAATGGGGGAGCGTTCTGGCGCTGCCCCCGTCGTCGTCGTTGTCGTCGTCGTCGTCGTCGTCGTCGTCGTCGTCGTCCTTCCCCTCTTCCCTCCACGTGCTTCACAATTACACAATATGAATACTATTCTCCTCTCACCCCTGGTGGCGTCCAGGGAATGGCCGGCCCCCCTCCGCGTATTGTTTTTTCCGAGAAGATAATTCTTTACGCTTCGCGTATCCCCACCAGCCCATCTCACAGCAGCAACTCTCGCGAAGCATGCCGACAGTCGTGTTTTTCAGGCATGTGTCCGCAGGGCCCCGCATATCTCCCCTGTTCCTCCTTCCTCCCGCCTCCTTGTACATCCTCCTTGTGGGGGGAGCGGGAGAAGGACGAGGCGAAGGAGGAGGGAGAGAAAACGCTCCTCGTGGTTTGAGTCGTTTGGGGTTTCTCGTCCTGGTCTGAGTCGTTCGGGCCCTTCTTCCTGGTGTGAGTCGTTCGGGCTCTTCGTGGTGTGAGTCGTTCGGGCTCTTCGTCCTGGTGTGAGTCGTTCGGGCTTCTCGTGGTGTGAGTTGTTCGGGCCCGTCGTCCTGGTGTGAGTCGTTCGGGCCCCTCCTCCTGGTGTGACTCGTTCGGGCTCCTCGTGGTGTGAGTCGTTCGGGGCCCGCGTCGTGGTGTGAGTCCTTCGGGCTCCTCGTGGTGTGAGTCGTTCGGGCGCCTCGTCCTGGTGTGAGTTGTTCGGGCCCCTCCTTGTGGTGCCAGTCGTTCGGCCTCTTCGTGGTGTGAGTCGTTCGGGCCCCTCGTCCTGATGTGAGTCGTTCGGGCTCCTCGTGGGGCCCCTTGGGGGCCTCTTGGAGCCTCGTGTGGCCTCTTGGGGGCCTCTTGGGGGCCTCTTGGGGGCCTCTTGGGGGCCTCTTGGGGCGTCGTGGGCCTCTTGGGGGCCTCTTGGGGGCCTCTTGGGGGCCTCTTGGGGCCTCGTGGGGCATCTTGGGGGCCTCTTGGGGTCCTCTTGGGGGCCTCTTCTGGCCGCTTGGGGGCCTCTGGGGGGCCTCTTGGAGGCCTCTTGGGAGCCTCCTGGGGGCCTCTGGGGGCCATCTTGGGGCCTTTTGCGACCTCTGCAGAAGCGCAAAGGAGAGCTGCCCCCTGAGAAGGACAAAAGGAGCCCAAAACCTTCGTAAAATCAATGATTTTGAGAAGAGGGAAGAGGAGCGCTGCCCCCTCAGAAGGCCAAAATGGGGCCGAAACCGTAGTAAAATCAATGATTTTGGCTTCACAGAAGAGGAGAGGGTTTTTTTGGCGCCCCCCCGTCGGGGGCAGAATCCTCTTGAGGGGTGTCGTTTTTTAGCCCTCCCAGGAGTCGAAAAAGACTCCCCTGACCACCCGCGGCCCGCCCTCTCCAGGCCCAGGGGGAGGGGGTAGGGGGAGGGGTAAACCCCTCCCCGAAGGGGAAGAAGGGGGGTTGAGGACAGAGCGGGCTCTCTAAACCACTCACGCCCAAAGGGCTGGTGGGATTATGAAAAGTTATGCTCTCGCTGAGGCGCTGGCTTCATTTTAGGGCCACCGCTCGTTCCGAATCGTGCTCCCGCTGCAACGCTGGCCTCATTTCCGCGCTTCCGCTCGTTCGGAATCGTGCTCCCGCAGCAGCGCTGGCGTCATTGTTTCCAGCGCCATGCCACGGCATGGTTTTCGGTCCTGCCAAATAGGCCCCCAAATATAGAACATGCCCCCCCGAAAAAACCATCGGAAGTGGTTATACATTCGGTGTCGATTCGTTGGTTTTTCAGGCTGCAGAAGCCTCCTCCCCACTTTGGGGCGTCGCTACGCCATGCCCTGTCAGGCTACGCGTTGCTCTTCAACACCATGCTATGCCATGTAATGCTATGCCACGCTACTACATGCGACTGTGCGAATCGAGAGGAGATCTACGCCATGGTAAGGGATGGATGGGGAGGGGTAGGACGTCAGATATGACGCGAGCGCACCTAGCTTGCCTCCCTCCCCCTTCCCTCCTCTTCCCTGCTGCCTCCTCCCTTCTCCCTCTGTTCGCCCTTCTCCCTCCTTCCTCAGCCCTCTTCTTTCCTTCCTGCTCGCTCCCCCAACCCTCCTGCCCTCCCCCTTCAGTCTCCTCCTGCCCATTTCAAGCAGGCTTTCGACTGCGTCGACCGCCTGTGTTCATGGGAAGCCCTGAGTATGGAAACGAGATGTGCCAGAGCCCTACATCACCTTGCTGCACAAGTTCCGCAGCGATCAGATGGTCACGGCAAGGATCGATGTCAGAAGTAGACAATTCAACATCGAGCGCGGCGTCAAGCAAGAGGACCCACTCAGCTTCTGTTTGTTCAACGGGGCACTCGAACACATATTCAGGCATATGAAACCAATCATTGCACGAAAAGGCATCGGCATACAGTTGGTAAATACACAAACGTTTCGCCTGACTAACATTGTATTTGCCGACGACGTCATTTTGCCATCACTAACATTGCATCCCGGCAGCACGAAACTCACAAATCTTAGCAGGCGACAGGGCCGATGTATTGCACACGCGGACGTTGGCGACGACAAGTTCGAAATTCTCAATGCAGAGGAGAGCACCAAGTATCTGGGTCGCAAACTCACGTTGGATGTGCCAACTTGGGATGTCTTGGACTGCCTGGAAGCCATTCAGGATAGTCTTGGAGCGATTGTCGGGCTTCCTGGGCGGTCTCGGACGCCCGGAAGACCGAAGAACAGATCATCCCCCAGATCATGCACCAAGCATTGCACATCAATGCTTTTCTGCGTTTCGAAAGCGTCTTGGGGTCGTCTTTGGGTCGTCTCCGGGCGTTTGCTGGGTGTCTGGGGCCTCTTGGGGCCTTTGGGGGGCCGTTCGGCCACCCTCCTGACCGATTTGGGCCCGCTGCCCAGGACCAGCAGGGGGTTTCAGGAGCTGCAGAAAGCTGGGAGAGGGGAGGATGAGGAGGTCCTCCTCCTGCTGCTGCTGCTGCTGCTCCTCCTCCTCCTCCTCCTCCTCCTCCTCCTCCTCCTCCCCCCAGCCTCCTCCTCCTCCTCCTCCTCCTCCTCCCCCTCCTCCTGCTCCTCCCCCTCCTCCTGCAGGGGCGTCCAGGGCCTCTCTGGGGCCACGGAGCCGGGGGGGTCCCGTGTTTTTATTGGGGGGGGTCCCGTCCCTTTTGGTTTGAAAGTTTGATAGAGTAGAGAGCAGAAATACATACATACATACATCCATCCATACATGCATACATACATATATGTAATATAAGCAACCAGTTAAACGCATACATAAATTAATCCATCAACACGTAAGCACTGAGTCATCCAATCTTGAAGTACATACATAATGCATTGACGAATATTCAGGACATTGATAATGATTTTTTGAACACATGCTTCAACACTTCCATACAAAAAGGAAACACGGACACTTGTGAATGAGGAAATATGAAAAAAACGTACATTACGAAATCAATGAATGATATCGTTTGATACAGGAATGAAGCGTCATTAATGCGTAGATAAGTATAAATATGTATGTCTTTATGTTTATATATACACACCTATACACAGCCCCTCGACGCGCCACTAAGCGCCGGTAGTTTGGGCGGGCCGGGCGTTTCGCCTGAATCAGATGTCCCCGGAATTTCTGGACCTAACGTTTGGTGTTTCCAACGGATGGGGGTGGGCCGTTTTCGAACAAAGGCTCTCGCCATAGCCCCGCGCACTCACTTCTTCACAGCTAGAAGCAGTTGCGCGTAATGCGACCAAACAGTGGAGAAATGCTGGGAGGGGCCGCAGCCGTCGCAGCGTCCGACTGGGAAGCGGGCAATGAAGACGACATTCCCGGTTCGTCGTCGTCGTCGCCGCGGTCGTCGCCGTCGACGCCGCCAGGCCGCAGCAACCAAATATCCAGACGAGAAATATTTAGTTGTTTTTCAATCGTCCCTACCCGATTTGTTTTTTGATCGTTTGGTCGCACCATGGAGGGCGGGTGGTTGTCAACATGTAAGTAATTTTCGCCTAAGCGCCGCCATCATTCGTCTTGACCGTTTTCAACATGTAATGCAGCATCAGTGGTGTGTGTGTGTGCTTGGTTTTGTACAAGCCCCTTTCCTCTCCCTTCTTTACTCCTCTGTCCTCATCCTCATTCTCCCCATCATTCCTCCTCCTCCTTTCTCCTTCCCCTTCGGTTCCCTCTGTGTCCCCCTCGATCTCATCGTCCTTCTTCATCGTCCCGTTCCTGGAGAAGATGAGGTACGCTTCCCGCTTGCCAAGCATATGTGTGCGAGCAGTTAACATCGGCCCGTTACTGATGATGATGCTGATGATGCTGCTGATGATGATGGCAATAATGGTGGTGATGGTGATGGTGATGGTGATGGTGATGGTAATGATGATGGTGATAATGAGTGTGCTAATTATGATGATGATGATGATGATGCTGATGATGATGATGATGATGATGATGATGATGATGATGATGACGATGACGATGCTGATGATGATGCTGCTGCTGATGATGATGATGACGACGGTGATGGTGACGTTGATGGTGATGGTGATGGTGTTGATGATGAGGGTGAGGATGAGGACTGTGATGACGATGGTGATGACGATGACGATGATGATGACGATGGTGTTGATGATGATGATGATGATGATGATGATGATGATGATGATGATGAGGAGGAGGAGGAGGAGGTGGAGGAGGAGGAGGAGGAGGAGGAAGAGGAGGATCATTTTAAACCCAAAACTTATCAACGATATTGCAGTACACCCTCCCGCCAAGCTCCCCATTTTTACAGAAGGAAGTCTCCCGTTTTTTGAGCATCCTGAGCCGTGCCAGAAAACCATTCCTGGGGATTCAACGCCGCGAATTACCATTACTGTTACGTCTTGACGACCCTGCATCTTGCCAGAACACAATTACATGGACTTCAACACCACGAGTCAACGTAACTCTTGCGCCCTGACAGTCCGACATCGTGCCCAAACGCTATTTCGGGGACGTTCTCCATGATAATCCTTGA